GCTTATGCAGGGGGTCGGACTCGATGATCTATTGAGGTCCCTTCCGACCCTAACATCTATGAATCTATGAATCTATGAAATTCATTGGAAGAGGGGAAGAATCTCCATATAAGTGGCTGAGATATTCAGCCAGTATAGGGGAACACACAATTCAATCCCTGCTCCTGGGAAGATGTCTAATTACTCATATAAAGTGGAATGAATGTACAGGAAGGCAGAGCACTCCATCCCAGAATCTCTTTGGCATATTGTTTGTGGCTGTCCTGCGTACTGCAGGATTCAGGTTCAAATCCTTCATGAATAGAAGGGATTTGCCCCCGTATCTCCCATATTTTGAGTCAGTGTTCTAATAGTGTAGAAACCAGTCCTTCATTTCTTTTGCTTTCTTTACAAGAGCACAAAATAACGTCTCATTTCATGTAGTACAAAATAGATATTATCAATAATTTTTAAAAGGGCTTGTTTTAACAAAAAAACCCCCAAAACAATATGATCCAAATAGATTTTTCCCTCAGTTCCTAAACTGAAATACCAATTATTCATATAGCCATAAGGCTGTAAATGGATGTGAATCCTTTGATTTCCCTGGAATTGCAGCCCTTTGCATCAAAAGTAACAATATTACCTCCTTGAGTGGAATAACTGGCGCATAATCTAAATATCATTTCTAGAGTTATATATTATTTCTAGCCAAGTTTTGCCAAATGTTCTTGTCTCCTGCTACATTTTAAAAATGTATGGATAGCAAGAATTGAAATTGGTACAAATGGATTCAAATCCACTATTCTGATTCCTCCTTAAATAAAAACTATGTGAGAGTTCATATCCAAAAGAATTTTTTCCCTCACTGAGAAAGTTCTTACCCATTCCTGATTAAATCATATGATGTAGTTGTAAAATCATTGGGATCAGGGGATGCTACACACGTGTCCACAAACAACACCAGATTCGAGTCAGAGCTGTGAAGATACGCTTGAAGGAATAGATTCTGGTTTAAATCAACGTAGTATGGCCAGTCATAGACTGGCTGTGAGAATGATGATGATCTATAAAATGTCAGGTTCACATTGTATCTGCTGTACTGAGTTTCGTTGACCTCAATAACATTGTCAGCAACATACATAACTTGTACCCAGGTGTTCTGGAGCATTTTGCAGTTGACATGCACATGAAGGTCCTTTTGTCTTTTGATTATGTAACCAGAAGAGGTTACTGTGATCTGGTTGGTATAAGTGATTGTATTGTTGTCTCCCTGGTAGAAGGACATATTAGAAGGACAAAACAAAATTATCTCATGTAGTCATTTTTATATTATGCATACTAAATTCTGATGTACCCCTAAGCCTCTGGCAGATGTAACCAGTAATTAAGATGTAATTAATCAGTTTATTAAGTCTTAATACAGTCATGCAATTAATGGTGTGATAGAACAGGAAATAAGCCACAAAAGTTATTACACAAAATGCTTTTTAAAACTTCATGGTTTTGTATATTTTCTGTAATAACTTTTGGCTGATTCCCATTGTGCCTTAAATTGAACATGTGGCCAGGCAAATCAGCTGATCGGGCTCCCAGTCTCGGGGGTGTATCTGAGCCCTTGACTCTGGGGCATTTCCAAAGCTGGGAGCACCAATCAGCTGCCTGGTTTGCTACCTGCCATTGCAGGGGGAGCCCAGAAACATGCTCCCATGCTCCCCTTGCAATGGCAACATGGTATGATTGGTACGTTCCCTGGGCAGCCGGCTGGGCAGCATGTGCACCCTGCATCGCTTACCCGTAAAGCCCCCTGCAGAGAGGCAGCCCTGCCCTCAGCCCCAGGCCCTGCATCTAGCTGCAGTATGCCACCTGAGGCCAGCAGCACCCCCTGCTCCCTCAGCCCCCAGCCAGCTTCCCCAGCCCTGCCCCACAGCACCCAAGCCCCACTTACCTCTAGGAGCCAGAGGCAAAGGGCATGGCTCCACAGTGGCAGTGCTTGCCCACAAAGTGTTCCCCCGCTCGCTCCCCCAGCCAGCATGCAGCCACCAGCATCCTGCACCACTGCAGACCGATGCAGCCAGTCGTGGGGCATAAGCAGCGGTGCAGTGGCGGGCACTACATGCAAGCCCCCTTTCCACCCCCCGGCCAAGAGGCATGTATGTGGCCTACACACAGTGGTTGCCACCACACTGCCACTGCCATGCCCTGTGCCACTTGCCCACAAAGCCGTGCAGGTGGCCATGGGATGGTAGCACAGGGTGCAGTGGCAGTTGTGGTGGCGGCCTCCGTGTGCAAACCCTCTGTCAGGCAGGGCGGCACGTGCGTGGTCCGCAGAGTGGCCCTCCATCCCGGCCCTGCTCCTGTGACTGAGAACACAGGCACACTCCCCCCCTTCTTGATCTACACCCCCAGCACCTTCCCTTTTTCCCTTTTCCCTGCCCCTTCCGCCCACACACACTTACCTGCTGGGGTGGGTGTCTGTGTGCGCCTCTGTTCCTGCATGTCTGTGGGTTTTGGGGGCTGTTGTGAGGGGCATCAGGAGGGCTATTGAGGCTGTGGGGAGGAGGGGGGGAATGCAGGGCACCAGCAGCACTGGGAGGAGCTGTGGGGGGCCTTTAATTTTTATCATGGATTTTGGGTTTTTAATCAGAAAATTTGCAATTTTTAATCAGAGAAAACCAGGATCCCTAAATTGACTATCAGCTTTGCTTGGAAAAAACCTTCATGTCTGGGTTTAAGTTATTCAGACAGATCTCTCCTGCACATTGTGCCTCATACAAGCAATGTACAATCAATAAGATTTCCTGCAGGCAGTGAGCTTGAACGTTCAAACAAGCCTAGTCCCCACAAACAGCACTGCATGTTACAATTCATAATCTTTCACAAAAAGAGCTCTGCGATTTGAACCGGCTTATACAGGTTGCTAAACCATTCAGCATCAGCTTCATCATACCTCTCTTCTGGTGCCACAGCGGGTGTATGGTATATCAAAAATAACATAGTATGGTGTAATTGTTGGTCTACAAGAAGGGTCATTCAAGCTGACATCCCATGCAGAGTAGCCTTGTGAACTGAGGTAGGCTCTGCTAACAACTGCCTTCATGTATTCTGGCAAGCACAGGAGCGCTGGTGAATGGGGAAAAACAAACATTAATGAAGTCGGTCATCTGATAGGGATTAAATATTGCAATTTAACCAAATCTATTACCTATTGTGTTCATATGTTGTGGAAGAAAGAGGTTCATAAGCCAAACCTCATAATTTCACTTTTCAATATGCACTTTGAAAAGAGAAAGAGTTTTCTTTCCATATGGAAAAAGGTTTAGGGTTTTGAATGGCTGCTGGGAACAGTGCCAAGTTTTAAGTTTCTCTGTATCACAAGGCATGGAAAAAATGTAGAGATTTCAGAGAAAATCAACAAAAGTGAGAAAAGGGCCATAAAATATCTACACTGTAAAATGTGGGGAGTCCAACAGAAGTTTTGTATGCATTAATACTAAGATTTAGTTAAAAGGAAGTATTCAAAAAGCTAATGAGATTATACAGAGTGAATTCCAGGTGAATATTCAAGAAAATATCTAAAAAATAATTCCTTTGGTAACAACTTGCAGATTTTTTTAAACGTAAAATTAATTATGGTCTGAAAGGGATAGGTTCATAATCATGAAATATGAGACTAACAGGTTATTTAAAGAAAAACATATAGCTATAGATATAGATATTGATCTATCTCTATATATTAGTTACAAAACAAAATCAGTAGTTTGGATAGTTTGTTTAGAAATAAAATTCTTTACTGGACATGGACTTACTAGTATTCTGATCTGCTGGAATGGAGTAATAGTCAGCCGAAAACCCTCTGGCTGCGTAGCTGTAGTCACCGTGAAACCGAACAGTCATCAAGTTTGAGGACGATGTGTAGGTGATAACAGAAGCATAACAAATTCTCCCAAGCAATGGAGAGGTATACAATGGTCCATCATACACTTCAATGTAGTTATATTGGCATTGACCACCTTCCAACCTGGGGAATAAACATGAACATGGTGTATGCATTGTAAAAACTCCCATTTAAAAGCTTATCATAAAACAGCCCATTAATCTATGATGACATACTTGATATTGTCAAGTCTTCAGGAGCAGAAAGGCTCTCTGGATTTTATATGTAAAAACATGTCGTTAGAGCTGAACAAACAAAAGAATACCGTCAGTAAAATTTTCATCTTCGATTTGTAGTTTGCTTACATTGCAAGAACATGCTGAGAAACGCCACTGAAAAGGAAAGGGTATTAAGTTTCCAAAACCAAAGTTTTGAGCCCATTAATAGCCCGTAAAGTTTTTGTTATACTTACGTAATATCTCTGAATGTGACCGTTACACGGTAATTGTTCATTACTTGTATTTCCCATACACAGTTGGCATTGCCTGCATAATTTCCAGGATAGAATGGGCTGTGAAATGTCCCAGATGAATTTGAAAGTAAACCACCACAAGAAGGCCTTGCTGCAGAATCAAATATAAGAATATAATGAAATATAAGAATCAGAAACATATCCTACTAAATAACTTATGCATAATTTATTAGACGAGATACTCTAATTGTTTATATTTATGAGTTGTTTATATTTACTGCTGCATGTATTTTCATATTGTTGCTAAGTCCAATCGAAAATTACGTTCAGGCTACAGTACATTAGCCTCAGGGCCACAAAAGCATGGATGATGATGGCCAGATCTGAATCTGAAAGATTATTTGGATGTTTTATTTTTAGTGCAGCATGGAAATAAATTTTTGAACAATCATCTAATAGGTTTGAACTAAAAATTATGTATGAAGTAAAATAAGATATCTATATTCAACTTCTGGAATGTTGCCATTTTTATTTAATGACTATTTTTATGTTATATATGGCATGCACCGTGTTTCTCAATTTGGTCTCTAAAAAGTCCTTATTTTGGATACTTGATATATAATTTTATATTACCAGCTTTAAAGGAAATACAAAGAACAATTATTAATTTAAGATTATTTGAACATGTTCAGTATGATCCATCCAATTTATTTGTCTTCTAAACTGTTATGCAGATGATTAATTTTGATGATAATAATAGTTTCACTAGTCTTTGGGAGTAGACATGCAAGCAAAGTGAACAATATATTTAAGGGTTTGCAATACTGCAGCCTGAGTTCTTACTAGAAATTCCTTCATTTAAGCCTTTTATAGCTTCGTTTCTTTAAACTATTTCCTTGTTTAAAATATTAGCTATGCAATCACAGGCTGCCCCCACCATGAAAATGGGGACTGAGGGGTGGGGCAGCGCTGCTGGCCTCACCCCGCTGCTCCGGCACGTCAATCCCTGCTATCATAGGGCAGGGGGGCAAGCAGGGATGGAGCCCCATGTTTGGCCCCATTCCCCCCACACCGCACTCCTTCCTGCCATGTCAGCTTCAGAATTGTTTCCCTCCCCACCGCATCCCCCTCTGCCTCCAAGGAGCAGGGTCAGGGAGGGGCCCCTGAGTCCGTGCTGCTCCGGCCCCTGAGTCCCGGGGGCTCCATCCCCGCCATCTCCCTCTGCCTCCAAGGAGCAGGGCCATAGTGGGGGGAGTAAAGACAGTGTCACTGGCCTCACCCTCCTGCCCCCCGCTCTCGCCCATCAGCTCCCGCTGTCCTGGCAGTGCTTCTGCCTCTGCAGAGCATTCTGATTGGTTGTTTAAGTGAGCATTGTGATTGACTGCTGAGACAACCAATCAGAGTGTAAATAAAGTGTTGCAGACAAACAGAGTAAGATTTGTATACTATTAGAATGCAAGCAATGGGGTCTATTTCCTGTATCACAGGTGTGACTATGCTCCATGGTAGATTCCAACCAGGTAGCAGAGAGGACTGCTACAGGAAGAACAAGTAACAGACTTACCTGATGCAGGCGTCTGTGTTGTTGTAGTGGGAGCTGTTAATACAAAAAGAGATGCAATATGAAACTAAGGATGTTTTCATATTAAGATCTATTCTTACATATGGCCTTAAATTAGAATTCCTGTGCTCATAAATATGTTCATGTAATACATAACACACTCTATCACTCTCTCTCATGACAGGCAATATACAGGTAAGTATTTATCAAAGAACATTAGCGATTACCTGAGCAGATGACACCAGCATCTTCACCATGAGCACAGTTGTGTGTGCCCCATCCACGGTGAGGACATTGCCAGAGGAATGACTCATTCCCTGAACACTGCACATCGTCCAGGTGAATAGATCCTGAGCCTTGGCCAAAATATGCATTTCCTGGCGCTGAAGCGGCCAGGCCACATCCAAGCTGCCTGCACACAACCTGGGCATCTCTTTGATCCCACGAATCATCACAAACTGTCCCCCAGTTTCCATTGTGATAAATTTCTATGCGCCCCTCACATCTATTGCTTCCATTCACCAATCTGAGGCTGGTACCTTCAAAGACAGAGAAAAGAGCTTTATTGCTCACAAGCATTCACAGTCACATTCCTGTTGGCATATTGCGACCCTATCTTCCGAGAATTCAGTTTCCATGCCGCAGCCTGCCCCTGCACGTCACGGCAGGGAGGCTTCGGCTCCTCTCCGCTACGTCTGTGAAATACACTGGGGACAATCACTGTCTCACAGATTTAAGCCCCTAAGGCACATCTCAGACAATACTCCATTTTGCAGTACTGTCAGAGTGCTATTACTTCCCCACGCTGTTTCCCATAAACACCAGTGAGGATTTTCCCATAGGACTCGGGTTTTCTGACAAATCCCACCTCAAATGGCCAGGTCTTAATAAATTGGCCTGCCCCTGCTCAATGGCAAGAAAGCATTCAAACCAATTTCTGATTTCATCTCACTTGTTAGATGCATCATACTATACTATAGTGACTTCTGATTTGCTGCTTTATACATTATGGGTTTTTGGCCCTTCTTTAGGGATTGACTATCCCCCACTTCTTTGCTGTTAGGAAAAGCAGCCAATCAGAGCTGCCAACCAAGAGGGGTCAGCTTAATCTCTCTGCAGGCAGAACAGAGAATGGCCTTGTCACCCCAATACTACCTCCAGAAGCATGCAAAGACCAAAGTCTGAGACAGCACTGAAATGCTGACCCCTAGGCGCTAACACAAGCTCGGAGGAGCAGCTGAACCAAGTTGATGGTTAAACTCCCAACGCCATTAGTGACACGTCCTGCTGTTTCTCCCACCTAGGTGAGGAAAAGATACAGGTCTCACCCTTGGCAGCAAGGGAGCTCAACAGCCCAAGACAAGAGGGTCACGAAGGGCAGGAGGGACCTAGGCAGCAGTCAGCTCAGGACAAGAGGAATGTGTGGGGGGACAGGGGACAGGGCTCAGAACTGGGACTGGTGGGAAAGCAGGCAACTTGAATCCCTCCCCAGCTGGGGCAGGTGCACTGATGTCCGAGAGTGATTACTGAGGGCCCCAACTCCATCATTTGCCCAGCATGTGCAGCAGCCCTGACTGGCTGTCTTTCATGTGGAGATGGGGAAAGTGGGGAATGGTAGTCTCTCCCGCTCATAGCAAGACATATGCATGCACATTGGCTCTCTTGTTCTTTGCACATGCTGGCAGGTCTAGAAAGTATTAGGACTTTTCCTGCTTATTATATAAGATACGTCCCAATATTACGAGATATTTACAATATCATTGGGGAATCGCGTCATTTATTCTCTGAAGCTAATATTCCAGAAATGAAATCATTGAATGATGACAGTTCATAGGTATTTTCATGGAGCTGAGCTTGATACCCATTAATGGACTGTTTAGCAAATAAAAAAAGGGGGGTTACATCATTAACTTAGGAAGAACTTCTTCACAGTTTGAGTGGCCAAGGTCTGGAACGGGCTCCCAAGGGAGGTGGTGCTCTCCCCGACCCTGGGGGTCTTCAAGAGGAGGTTAGATAAGCAACTAGCTGGGGTCATTTAGACCCAGCTCTCTTTCCTGCCTATCATCTGCCCCCGGCCCTCTTTCCTGCCTATGCAAGGGGTCGGACTCGATGATCTAGTGAGGTCCCTTCCGACCCTAACATCTATGAATCTGTGAATCTATTAAATGAAATAGCATACGGAGTATATACTTACTATTGTCATATTCGAGAAATGAATAATATACTGCCCGGAAACCTCTTCTTGTGACACTACCATCACTGTGAAACTGAACCATCAGTTTGTTTGAGAGCGATGTAATCGTGTGCATGGAATCATTACACACTCTCCCAAGTAACGTGAGCCCATAAAAGCCTGTATCATAGACCTCAATGTAATCATATTGGCAAGAATCACCTTCCAGCCTAAGTAGAAAAATGCAAGTGTATTTTAACTTCACATTTCCCCCGTTATAACACCAGTTTTAAAATATTCTGTTAGGAATATTAGCACTCAAATGTAATGAAACAAAGCAGGGCCACAGAATGGAAGCTAGACAGACAAGGTTTGCAAAGGGGTGTCCAATGGGGTTGTGACTTCTTGCCAGGATTTTATCAGGCTAGGATGTAAGGATCGTTTGCAGAAGGCAAGAGAGATGTGACTGGGGACCCTGTTCAGAGCCCCGGAAACCATGTGTAACCAGTACCTCAATAAAAGCTGACCTGAAACTATAGCCGCTGTCTGGTGGATCACGCAGTCAATTCTACCCTCACCTACTTGTAGGTTCACATTACACCCCCTGTTAATTTCATTATTTGCCTTTTCACTTCAATTCTTAGTGCTACTGTTCATGTCTTATTGAGTTAATTCAGAAACAGATCTAGATTCAGACTCAGGTAAAACTTTTCATCTTTGAATCCCAGAAGACTTAACTGGAACAGGACTTACATTTCAGAAACTCTTTAATGTTAGCCTAGATTTCCATGTACGTGTGGTAAAGACAAGGAGCACAATCATGCCAGCAATACATGGCTCTAACAAAGCACAGTCACACTAGCAGGTCCACCATAGGTTAAGAGTAGATTCTGACAGCACAAGGACGCATTTTGTGTAGCAGAGACCCTTATCCCCAAACAACACCCTTTTACACTTTTCTAGGATGCTATACTATTTTAATCATATGATTTAAACTACTTTCCCAATCATATTGCCTATCCATGGGTATCAAGTACTTAAGATTTGCATCAATAATGCAATTTTGGCCTGTAGCTGTAATACTTTATGGAAAACAGTCTTCATTTGTGCCTCTAATTCCTCCCTACAAGCATGTCCCAGGGCAGTCTTAAACTTTTGCATCATAGAATCCAGACTAACTACGAGGACTCTTGCCTACATTATATGTAATTGTAGACTCAGTCCAACGCTTACCTACCTTAACTCACTACTTTCAACAAAAAAAAATCTATATTCTATGAGAAATTCATTTAATTGTTCTAAAAAGGAAGTATCGCAAATTTTATCTGAAGTGTATTTTAAAAAGTAATCAGTGTTGGATGATCTGTAGGAACATGAAGCATGTAAAACTGACTTCATTGTGTTTCTCTTATGGAACCAAACCCATTGCGGGGCCCAACCCCTATATCAGTCTATTCTCACTGCACCAGCGGCAGTGCTATTCTCCCTCTCTCGGTTTACCACTGACACTCCAATTATTCTAAACATCCAGGAAGCGTTCTTGAGACATACTGGACAGCACTTTAAAAACCTTATTTACTATTGTTCTTTACTTACTGAACATCCGTAAACGTGAGATTTATGAGGCGGCCCGAGGATACTTGGATTCGCCACACACAATTCATGTTATTTGAATAGTTTCCAGGATAGAATGGACTGGAAAATGTGCCATATGATTGTGTCAGCAATCCACCACAGGAATAGTTCCCTGCACAATAAAATACAAAGCAACAAAATGCTAAACAGCCATTCCCACCAATTTCTACATACGTTCTTGTCCCAGGGGAACTGGGGTGGCAGGAGGGCCCCAAGCCAAAAGAGAGCCCCACTTACCTCTCATTGAGCCCGAAGAGCCGGAGGAGAGGCGCGCGGCGAAACCACCGGTGAGGGTGATTAGCCGCACATATATCCGGCTCCGGTTGGGCAGCGTGGGCGGGAGACGCCGCCCGGGATACATAAAAAGCGGCCCCGACGATGCGGACGGGCGGCTAATGAGTGGAGGCTGGAGGGAGGAGCCCTCACACGGAGGGGATCAGCCACCGCGGCCGGCAGCGCGGAAAGCCGGGGGCAGAGCCAGGAGAGGCTCCGAGAGAGTCGGCAGTGACACCAACAGTAAAGCTGGCAGGGAAGTCAGCTGCAGCGTTGATAGCAGAGCCGGCAGGGAAGCCGGCTGCAATGTCAATAGCAGAGCTGGCAGGGAAGCTGGTTGTAACGCCGGCACGCGGGAGACCCGGTAGCCACGTCAGCCCCAGAGGCGGCAGTGAAGGTGGGAGCAACGCCGACGGGGGATCTAGCAGTTGCGCCCGCAGCAGAGCCAGCGGCAGCACCCACGGAGGAACCAGAGGGAGGAGCCGAGGGAGCAGTGTCAGGGCAGGCCGGCACTAAGACCTAGGAGCGAGCCTGTGCGGAAGTCTCGGAGAAGAGGTAACAGAGGGCCGAGTCCAACGGGCCCTCGTCGGGCCGCACCAGAGGGCGGACGGAGACCCGAAGTGGGGTTGGACAATGGACCTTCGTGGCCCACAGCGGCCGTAGGAAGAGGCGGGGATTCAACACCCCAGTGGGTGAACTGCCAGGGCGGTGGAACCCGAGCCCAGGGCAGTCCACACGGCCCAGAGGCACCCTTGTGGGCCTCCTGGCCCAGTAGTTTAGGGGCCTCGGTTATCTCGGTGGTGGGATAGGCACATCATGTCACAGGGTGATTAAGTATGGAGCGATAGGAAGTCTTATTGGAGGGACCAGGCCGGAGGTCCTCGCGGACCATACGCCAGGCCCGAAGATCCAGGCACGCAGCTGGCAAGCCATGGGCAGAAGTTGGGGAAGAGCTGAGGACACCAAAGGGGCCTGAAGATCAGCAGCCCAAGGTGGCGAGTGGCCGGGGTGTAGGGGAGGTTGGAGCCCCGTGAGTGTCCGCCGGGAGGCGCGACGACCCTGGAGGCTGCTCCAAGGGGGAACCCCTCCACTGAGGGAACATCCAAGTCATGGCAGGCGAGTTAAGGGGACCCCCTGACGTCAGCAGGGGTAGCCTGTGGGGTTTACCAGCGAGCCCAGGATACACACGATCCCTAGTCCGGGCAAAGGCCGCACGGGAGCGCTTAATTGAACGGAGGCGGGCACAGTTCTAGACAAGGCACAATACCAGCCTGTGCTGCGATATTCAAAAAGATACTCTCCTAGCAGAAATTGGAGAGGTCCCAGAATGACCTTCGTTTCCCCCTTTTATTCACCTACGCAAGCATTTGGGTCTATTTACTGTACTATAGGTGTTACAATGCTTCATGGTAGATTAAAACCAGGTAGCAGAGAGGACTGCTACAGGAAGAACAAGTAACAGACTAACCTGTTCCAGGCGTCTGCGTTGTTGTAGTGGTAGCTGTTAACGCAAAAAGAGATGCAATGTGAAATTAAGAATGTTTTCATATTAAGATCTATTCTTACATATGGCCTTAAATAAGAAGTGCTCATAAATATGTTCATGTAATACATAACATACTCTATCACTCTCTCTCATGACAGGCAATATACAGGTAAGTATTTCTCGAAGAATATTAGCGATTACCTGAGCAGATGACACCAGCATCTTCACCATGAGCACAGTTGTGTGTGCCCCATCCACGGTGAGGACATTGCCAGAGGAATGACTCATTCCCTGAACACTGCACATCGTCCAGGTGAATAGATCCTGAGCCTTGGCCAAAATATGCATTTCCTGGCGCTGAAGCGGCCAGGCCACATCCAAGCTGCCTGCACACAACCTGGGCATCTCTTTGATCCCACGAATCATCACAAACTGTCCCCCAGTTTCCATTGTGATAAATTTCTATGCGCCCCTCACATCTATTGCTTCCATTCACCAATCTGAGGCTGGTACCTTCAAAGACAGAGAAAAGAGCTTTATTGCTCACAAGCATTCACAGTCACATTCCTGTTGGCATATTGCGACCCTATCTTCCGAGAATTCAGTTTCCATGCCGCAGCCTGCCCCTGCACGTCACGGCAGGGAGGCTTCGGCTCCTCTCCGCTACGTCTGTGAAATACACTGGGGACAATCACTGTCTCACAGATTTAAGCCCCTAAGGCACATCTCAGACAATACTCCATTTTGCAGTACTGTCAGAGTGCTATTACTTCCCCACGCTGTTTCCCATAAACACCAGTGAGGATTTTCCCATAGGACTCGGGTTTTCTGACAAATCCCACCTCCAATGGCCAGGTCTTAATAAATTGGCCTGCCCCTGCTCAATGGCAAGAAAGCATTCAAACCAATTTCTGATTTCATCTCACTTGTTAGATGCATCATACTATACTATAGTGACTTCTGATTTGCTACTTTATACATTATGGGTTTTCGGCCCTTCTTTAGGGATTGACTATCCCCCACTTCTTTGCTGTTAGGAAAGCAGCCAATCAGAGCTACCAGCCAGTAAGGTAGGACTTGCCTCTCAGCAGACATAATAGATAATGGCCAGTTCATAGGTATTTTCATGGAGCAGAGCTTGACATCATTATAGACAGGATAGAACGGACTAGAAAATGTGCCATACGAATACTGAAGAATGTCACCACAGGAATAGTTCTCTGCAGAGTAAAATTCAGTGCATGAAAATACTTAAGAGGCATGGCCATCAATTTCGACATACGCTCTTCTAGACCAGGTAGAATTCCAGCCTGTGTTACGATATTCAAAGATACTCTCCTAACAGAGACTGGACAGGTCCCACAATGACTTCTTTTCCCTTTTATTCAAATATGCAAGCATTTGGGTCTATTTACTGTATTACAGGTGTGACTATGCTTCATGGTAGATTCCAACCAGGTAGCAGAGCGGACTGCTACAGGAAGAACAAGTAACAGGCTTACCTGCTCCAGGCGTCTGCGTTGTTGTAGTGGTAGCTGTTAATACAAAAAGAGTGCTCTTACTTCCCGACGCTATGCTTCCCATAAACACCAGTGAGGATTTTCCCATCGGACCCAGGTGTTCTGACAAATCCCACCTCAAATGGCCAGGTCTGAATAAATTGTCCTGCTGGCGCTCAATGGCAAGAAAACATTCAAACCAGTTTTTGCTTTAATCTCACATATTAGATGCATCAGATCCTCCATTTCATTTTGCCATTTATACATTATGAGTTTTCAGCCCATTCTGTAGGGATTGGCTGACCCCCATTTCTTTGCTGTTAGGATAAGCCACCAGTCAGAGCTGCCAACCAGCAGGGGACAGCTTAATCTCTCAGCAGGCAGAACAGAGAATGGCCTTGTCACCCCAATACTACCTCCAGAAGCATGCAAAGACCAAAGTCTGAGACAGCACTGAAATGCTGACCCCTAGGCGCTAACACAAGCTCGGAGGAGCAGCTGAACCAAGTTGATGGTTAAACTCCCAACGCCATTAGTGACACGTCCTGCTGTTTCTCCCACCTAGGTGAGGAAAAGATACAGGTCTCACCCTTGGCAGCAAGGGAGCTCAACAGCCCAAGACAAGAGGGTCACGAAGGGCAGGAGGGACCTAGGCAGCAGTCAGCTCAGGACAAGAGGAATGTGTGGGGGGACAGGGGACAGGGCTCAGAACTGGGACTGGTGGGAAAGCAGGCAACTTGAATCCCTCCCCAGCTGGGGCAGGTGCACTGATGTCCGAGAGTGATTACTGAGGGCCCCAACTCCATCATTTGCCCAGCATGTGCAGCAGCCCTGACTGGCTGTCTTTCATGTGGAGATGGGGAAAGTGGGGAATGGTAGTCTCTCCCGCTCATAGCAAGACATATGCATGCACATTGGCATACAAAAGAGATGCAATATGAAACTAAGGGTGTTTTCATATTAAGATCTATTCTTATATGTGGCCTAAACTATTCTACCACAGGTAGTCTCATGGAAATCTCCAGAAACCCTCGTGGTGATAATACCTAACTCCTTAAGGATTCTGGTTTTATTGATGTCCTCTGTATCATGTGACAATGTTTGCTGACTTGCTTGAACATCAACAAACTTGGACTTAATACAACTATTCCTTTCTACCTATTAATTATAAGAAATATATAGTGAATATATAACCCACAAATGGTGAATATATAACCCACAATTGTAGTCTGCGGCTTGTTGTTTTTTCCTACCAGATCTAAACACTATTTGATTACACCCACTTATGGAATCCTGAACTTTTTACTGACCATTCCATTAATTCAGATCATGCCCTTCTATACATGACAATATATTTCCTTTTTAGCAAGGACAAACTATAGTAGCCTTTGTCCAACGCCCTATTATTTACATTTTTTAGAGTAGTGGCACAAATGCAGCTTTTCCGGTAAATATAGTGGATATTACTTGAGAGCTACATATTTATTATGCTTGCATTTTAAATGCATATACACTTTACAGTATGAGTTCTGTACAATGCTTTTCAGCGTATGGGGCTCAATTCTGTCTGGCTGTGACTTTTATGTATAGTAGTAAACTATTCAGAAGTTTAAATTTAAGCCTGTTCTTCAATCCTACGTATTCTGTATCACCCTGCAGGGTCAGGTCTATAAACCATTTACAGCTTAGCTCAAATTCGGACTTACCTCTTTCTGGAGGTGCTGTCACTCCAGAATCTGTTAGTATAGAAAAATAAGATATTAGACACAAGACATTACTAATACAAACAGGATGCATATACACACGCACTTTACTGTGCATTAGTCTATTTTAATATGCATTAAAGTGTCACAAAAAACTTTGCTGTTTCGCTAATGTGCATTACAAAAGGATAGTGTGCATTTTTCTAGTACCTCACAACGGGTGAAGGTACTAAATTGAATGTGCATTACCTAAAATGAATGTGTAGACACACCCCTAGTCCCTCATTGATGGCATGACTCAAAAGCAAAATAGCAAATGTTTGAAACATGTTTACAAAAAACTTGTGTCCATTAAGATCATTATCACAGGTTAAAATTTTGTAAGTGTAAATCACACTAAGTTTAACTGAGAATTTACTACTTGCTTTTATGGAGATTGGATTGGGTCTATCTTGATCTACCTTAATATCTGTCTTGTCTATCCATACCTTACGTTCCCTCTAAATGTTACACTTATGCTGCGATTGTGTTAATCACACCATAAATGACAAGGGTGCTATGTGTACACACAACTTAAGGTGCTGTAAATGGCAAACAAGGCATAAAATGTTTCCACAGATAGTGTAGAACAATTTTATGGTTAATTTCTACGGTCCTTTAAATTGAATGCGAGGCCAGGACAACAATCAGCTGATTGTTGGCTTGGGTTGAGGACCACACCAAGAGCTGGAACTGGCCACAGTGCGGCCCTTACTTGCCTGGCAATCAGCTGGTTGTCAGCTCAGGCTGGGCATTGCACTGAGGTCTCAAACCAGCACCAGTGTGGTCCCCAGGCAGAGCCAACAATCAGCTGATTGTCAACCCTGGCCATGAACCCATGGGCATGCGGTTTTCAACTTACTGGGGCAGTTGCCTAAACTTGGGCTCCCCCTGCAATGGCAAGTAGGGTATGATGGGGATCTGATTTCTAGTCTCAAAATTGTGTCTCCTGTTATGTGTGCAGCATGGGAGGAGGCATGATTGTGGGGATCATGAATCAGATCCCATTGTGCATTTAAATGAATGTCTTCCAGTAACATTAGATTAAAACATCATCTCACTCCCCATTATACTCTACATCCACTGCTTGTATACTTGCCCTTAGAAATAAAGTTCATATATTCAAAGTACATTGATTTGAGACATTTTACTACCATGGAGTATAAAACAAAGATTTTTTAAAAAGCAGAAGCCTTAGTATAGCCTGAAATAAGTGGATACTAGGGGTGTCAAGATGTAAAAGCCACAGATATATGAGAAAAACAAAGAATACATACCTGAACATATCACACTGGCATCCCCATAATAGTCACATGAACGGGGCCAATGTTGATAAGGACACTCCCATAAAAAATGTTCAGAGCCAGTGCAGTTCACTGCTGTCATCAGAGGATATAACCAGCCTTCACCATAATAGGAATTTCTCAACGCAGCAACAGCTGAGCCACAATTAAGTTGTCTGCACAAAACCCGTGCATCGTTCATATCCCATAAAGAGCCACAAACTTTATACCAGCTTCCAAAATAAAATATTTCAACACGACCTGCACATCTGTTTGGCCCATTCGTGAGTTGCACAAGTAGTACTTGGAAAGACAAAATAATTCAGTGTTAGTGTTTTCCTTTGTTTTCACTGGAGAATGGATTTAATGTCAATGCTTATGAAACGACACAAAACTGATACAAAACTATTTTATTTTTACACAAAAAGTGCTGCTTTGTATAAAAAGGCTTCTCAGTTCTAGGACACTGAGATTAAATAACCTCCCTAAAATAAATAGTAAAAATCCTACAACACCATACATAAGCCAAAAGTAAAATCCTGACCCTTCTGGAAGTTTTTAACTTACTTCAATGCACCAGGATGAAGCAGGACTAAAATGATGCATCCTACAGTTGTACACTGGGAGGTGGGGGATGGGAAAGAATAGGGGAAGTGGGCTTTTCCCCCCTCTTTATTATTAAGGGTAAGACTGGGATAAAGTCCATTCCAGAAACTTAGAGATGGTATGGAGAGAAAAGGAGCAAAAAAGTGAAGACTGAAGACTTTTGAATTTTAAGAGCACCAGAATGACTATTTAAAAAATGGCACCTTATTTATATTACTACCACTTCAAACCACTCTGACAAGGGAAAGTGGCCTTCCCACGAAGACAAACATACTGTATGAGCACTTGATGGTTGTTTCACCCAAGGGTTGCCTATTTTTTCTCAACTCTCTCCTCCCTTCTGAATTACCTACCTTTTGAATTACCTACAAATTTATCCCTGAGACACAAAATAATTGTGAGACCAATATTTCTAGGTCACCAATTAACATTTGGACCAAGTTCGCAGCGCAAAGCTGTTATGACCAAATAACAGCTATAACTTAATAGTACTTCGCTTTCAGGGAAGGTTTGGTTTGGATCCAAGTTGAACATAATACAATAAATATCTTGTAAGAGTCCTGAGTCTACAGGATGGTTTTTGAGGCAATAGGCAATATTGTAAATCAAAGGAAAAGCAAAATGTAAATAATACCATATATAGATTGACTCACCATCGCCTATAGTTTGATCTGAAAAAAGCATATGAAATAAAAGACATTAGCACGAAACACTTAGGTGTATTCAAAGCATTCCCTTTTTACTCCCCCAAATTGTAATCACTTGTTTGTGAAGTGCGAGTACGTCAGGAATGTTGCAAACATGACTGAGACAAAGTGCCTCATTCTACCAGAAAGCAATTTCTAAAAATGTTAATGAGGCAGAAAGGACACATTCCAAACCTACTAATTTCGAATCTTTGAGTTTCGTACACCTTAGCCAGCAGACCTATACAGAGCCCAACACCAACCTACGGATTTAGAAAGATTTGGTCATAGATGCCTAGATTCACTGCAGCGTGTCCTCCTATCCATCCTCTTCAGAATTAGAGAGAGTAATGATGTTATCCAAGTTTTGGCTGTAGTCAGCTTCCATCCACCCTCAATCCAGCCCTGGACAACTTATCCAGTGGGTCAGTGGGAAGATAGATCCTATCCAGTTCTAGGATGTATTCAGCATGAGCAAATGGGAACAGAAGGGAGTGGTTCTTTCCTCAGTCCTTCTGCAACAGGATAAAGGTGAGCAGGCTGGGAAACTTCTCTTTTCAACCTCTTGTATCATCTGGCTGCAGGAGTGAGGTTTTTTACCATCACCGTCCTGCCTGCTGATTTCCTCAACTCCATGCAGGAGTTCCTAAACTCTCACAGGGCCCCTGTAAATCTAAGCTCCTACTTTGAAGGAGCATTCCCTATGCATGATACAAAAGCAGGCAAGTGGAATTGTCAATACCAGTGAAAGGCTGATGTTGGCAGGATACTTAGATTTATTGGTTATATCTTGGTCAGATTGGTTTTCCCAGTCAGAAAATGTTACCCAAGGAGGAAATATCGGAAGAGCTGTGCAGCCTCTTTCACTGCACGAAACCAACACTTTTTGAAAAACAGCTACAGGGGTCTTTGCAATTGTACAATAAAGGATGGGTCTAGAAGAGATGCTTAGAGGACAGTAGCCTGTTACTACTGTGCAGTAGCGTTGCTGGGCACAAACCATGATGCAATGTTACTGTGCAATAGTAACAAGGTACTGCACAGTCAGTGTCACCAGGCAACCATGCCAGGATGCTACTGCACAGTAACACCCGTTATTTAGTACTTGATTATGCAGTCATTTAGTACTTGGTTATTTTTTTGCAGTATTGTGTCAGTGATTTCATGAGATATGATGACACCACAAAAAAGTATACTACAGATTTGACTGATGGATATAACAAAAGCCAAATATGCACAGCACCACTGGAAAATAAAGTTAAACAAGATGGGACTTACAGGTGGTAGTTTCAGGTGTTGTAGTAAACTCAGTTGTAGTGGTGGTTGTAGATCTTGTATCTTTAAGGAAACAAGGTAAATTAGAAATGTTTTTTTCCAAGGATATTAGTTTCAAGATTTCTGTTACTTAATACGTAATAAGGGTCTTTAGTTACCAGTTTGGTGTGTTAAGTGACCCTCTAAGGAAGCTTTTGCTTACTATGATTGTAATAAAAGCTTACTTTTTCATTCCTTTTACAAGAGGATGTGAAAATACAATGCAAATGTCTTGATGGAAAGAAAGGGCACTGGGGAGAAAGATATTTAGTACTTGATTATGCAGTCATTTAGTACTTGGTTATTTTTTTGCAGTATTGTCTCAGTGATTTCATGAGATATGATGATACCACAAAAAAAGTATACTACAGATTTGACTGATAGATATAACAAAAGCCAAATATGCACAGCACCACTGGAAAATAAAGTTAAACAAGATGGGACTTACAGGTGGTAGGTTCAGGTGTTGTAGTAAACTCAGTTGTAGTGGTGGTTGTAGATCTTGTATCTTTAAGGAAACAAGATAAATTAGAAATGATTTTCTTTTTTCAAGGATATTAGTTTCAAGATTTCTGTTACTTAATACGTAATAAGGGTCTTTAGTTACCAGTTTGGTGTGTTTGGTGTGTTAAGTGACCCTCTAAGGAAGCTTTTGCTTACTATGATTGTAATAAAAGTTTACTTTTTCATTCCTTTTACAAAAGGATGTGAAAATACAATGCAAATGTCTTGATGGAAAGAAAGGGCACTGGGGAGAAAGATATTTGCACAGATTTCAATAGTTAGGACAGTGGCCAGGAGGGATCACAAATATATGTTTCTGGAACCTGTTTGGTTAACTCTCTGCTTCTATTATCTGCTAGTTAATATCATAAACTCACCACATAATAACATTTCTCAATGTATTTTTAAGCTCTACTAATCTAATATAATACAAGCCTTAGTCCATCTGTCTTTCTGTCTGTCTGTCCATAACACTCCGGGCCATCTGCACATGTGCTGCCGAGAGGGCAGGCGGTGATTGGCTGGCCTGGGCACAACTTTGTGCTGGGTCTTAGGGGAGGGGGCAGAGGCAGTCGGGGGCTAGTGAGTCACCACGCTGCACCCCCCCCCGACAACAGCTGGCACGGAGGGGGAGGGAAGCAGGAAAGGAAGGGGAATGGTGGTGGCACAGTGGAAGTACCACCACTGGGGGAAAGGCTGGGTGGGGAGGGAGTGGGACTAAGACTATACCAGGCTGATCCTGGAGGTGGGGGGTGCGCTCAGGCAGGGCTGAGTTGTGGGGCCATGGGAGCCCAACGGTCCCTCCAGGGGTGCAGAAGGGCAGCTCCCACTGCTGTGCACTCTACAGGGGAGCTTTGCAGGGGTGGGGGGCACATGCCCTCCCTCTTGGCTCCTCCATGCAGTGCCCTTGGATAACCCACTGGGCTCTGACTGCCCCATGGCATGTGGCTGGGTGTGTGTGGCATGCCGCATGTGGCTGGGTGTGTATGGTGTGCAGCATGTCTGGGTGTGTATGGTGTGTGGCATGTGGCTGGGCATGTGGCTGGGTGCATGTGGCGTGCGGCACATGTCTGTGTGCGTGGCATGTGGGTGTGCGCATGGCATCTAGTTTTGGCTGGGTGTGTGTGTTGGGGGTGTGGCATGTAGTTGAGTGTGTGCATGTGGTGCATGGCTGGGTGTGGGTATGTGTATGTGTGTGTGTGTGGTGCATGTGATGTGTGGCTGGCTGTGTGTGTGGCATGTGGTGTGTGGCATGTGACTGGGTGTGTGGCTGGATGTGTGTGGCATGTGGCTGAGTGTGTGTGGCATGTGACTGTATGTGCATGGCATGTCACTAGGTATGTGGTGGGCTGTGCGTGTGTGGGCGGCATGTGGCTGGGTGTGGGTGGCATGCAGCATGTGGCTGGGCACGTGGCTGGCTGGGTGCATGTGGCATGCAGCACATGGATGGGCATTTCTTGGGGTGTGTGGCATGTGGCTGGGTATGTGTGTGGATGTGGCTGTGTGCATGGCATGTGGCTGGGTGCATGGTGTGTAGCATGTGGCTGTGTGTGTTGTGGGGGGGGGGGCACGAGTCATGTGGCTGGCACAAGTCACCTGTATTAAGCCCCTGCATATTTCAAAATGGCCATGGGCGCTCTTTGGCTAAACTTTGTTGAATGAGCTTTAGATGAAGCATGCCGTGGCCATTTTGAAATATGCAGTGTCTTAATACATGTGACTGTATTAAACATGTGACTGTATCAACAGCAAATAGGCAGAGCTTCAACAGCAAATAGGCAGAGCCCTTTTCTCCCCAGCACCACCTGTGGTGACAAGGAACAATGGTCATAAGCTGATGGAGAATAGGTTTAGGTTGGAGATCAGAAGGCAATATTTTACAGTTAGGGTGGCCAAAATCTGGAACCAACTTCCCAGGGAGGTGGTCCTCGCCCCTACCTTGGGCAAATTCAAGAGGAGGTTGGACGATCACCTGTCTGGGGTCTTGTGAACCCAGCATTCAGTTCTGCCTGTGGCAGGGGGTCAGGCTAGATGAGCTGTTCAGGTCCCTCCTGACCCTAGCTACTATGAAACTATGATTGTATTAAGTATTCCAGTAAGTTTAGGGAAACACTATTGCCCATCTACCCTGCTCTGTAGCCCTGTGCCCAACAAGGAAGCGTACTACTCTGCTCTGCCTGAAATGCAGTTGGTAGCCAGACTGCAGGGAAGCAGCGGGTGATAGATGCAAGCTCTTAAACAGCACATCTTTCACAGGCCTATGTTAATGGGGCTAATTCAAACACTTCCAATTAAAGACAGTAGGAGATGGATAGGGAGAGAAGCAGGCACAAAGAATTAAAGAAGGGTGGCTAAGTCAGGAACTTAAGAGACATACAAGGCCAAACACTTAATCAAGGGAATGGAGACATAGCTCTGATCCTAGGTGCCGGATGTTAGGAAGGATATTTTCTGTTGGGCAAAAGGCCCTTCTCTTTAGAAGTTACATAGGGTTAATTTGTAGATCTTTACATCCATGTTTTAACATAGTCATTCATAAACACACTAAAAATATAAATCTAAAACATACTTATCAGTTATGTATCATTTAATGAAGGGGCTGGAGGGAACAAAACAGGTATAATGCAGCTTAAATAATGGTCATGAAAATTATCTGCGTTTTTTCCAGGTACAAAAGGTCCAAGCTACGTAATTTGTGCTTTATGGAATTAAACAGGTCAGTCAACCTTAACACACATAAAACGAGAGTAAAAAGACAAAGGAGAAACTGACTGCATCCTGAAGTAAGCACAATATTTCATTTATTCTAAGTGAACTATGACATACTATTGCTTGTGATAGTATCTATCATATATTATCTTGTGATGGTGTTTCACTATAAATAAGAACTGGATTGTTCCCTGTGCACCTGGAAGTATTATTTCAAAGCATTTAAAAATAAAAAAGCAATTTAGCAAAAAACCCAATTTCTCCTTACACCACACTGCAAAGGTAAAGATTTGGAGACAGAAACCACCTGAATATTTATTTGATTTTAGTTATGGTTGAGGTCTATAAGGCTACAAACAAATGTCACATTTGTTCTGGGAGAAACCATTTTGCCCTAGGACAAATGCAATCATTCAGACATCCGGGTCTGTTGTCCCCGGACTGCATTGTTAAATCAGTAGTAGGAAAGTGACAGTACATACAGCCACTCACTAACCCTGATTGGAAGGGTGATGTGTACACACCAATCCCAGGACTTTTTGGGACAAACACAGGTACAAGTTGTCCTGGGACAAATGCCATGTTTGTTCCAAGGCTAAGACAAAACACTGGAAGGTAACTGGACTGATTTAATTGCACTAGGCACTTATTGTTTCTCTTTAAACAACAATGACGTTAGTTCAATATTTCTATTGAACATTGTGAGTTAACGTTCTAGCTAATAGAGTCTAGCTAATCTAGACTGTCTTTAATTTTTGCATAAAATTATCATTAGCCTGAGTTCTCTAAGTGAAATCAATAAGAAAAAGCAAAAATGTGTCATTTTATGGTGAGAATTACATTGGAAAGATTTTAAGCATGTTTACCTGTAGTAGTTGCCAGAACTCCTGAACTTAACAATAGCATCCAAGTGAAGACCATCATCATGCCCGTTTTGCCAGAGCTCCTGTCAAAAAAGGAACATCAGACTTTATAAGCTGTGATGCTGAAGAGGTGTGACACAAGAACCTGTGTTATCTCTATAGTAAACTAGTATGAAGTTCATCCGCAGGGTGGTTTCACTGAAGCCACATTGACCTTTTGTTTAATTTGTTATCCAACACTTTCAACTTCCTGGTCTGCCCAAAGACAATATTTGAAGAGTCACATTTTTCACTTCTTAGAGGAGTCCCATTGTGCCATTGCCAAGGTTGCAAACTATCCTAACGGTTCATTTGATTAATGAACCAACTTACCTTTAACAGAGGCATAGTTGGGCACTTGATTGCCCTGGGGAACAGTAGTGCATGGGACAGTGTCACTGGCTGGACTGGCACTGTCATGGTTGTGACAATCCAAACAGTGCAGCTGCTACTCTTTTTATGCTTTCCCAGGGTCAGTACCTAGGCTGGTGCCCCAGTCACCATTCCTTCCTTATGCTACTGACATTTAGTGTCTGTACAGTGGACCCAGGTGTTTTGTTTGATGAAGACACATGAAGGAAAAATGTTTGTGCCAATACAAGATGGCAAAGTGGGATTGTGGTCAGCCTACCAATTTGCTCAGCCTTCCTCCAGGGAAGGCTTTTTAGTGGTACTTGAATGGTTTCATGTTACATACATAAAAGTGCATGAATATTTTCAGATAACTAGGGCCAACCAATAACTTTGCACGGAACCATGAAAAAAATCTATGGATTTTTATGCAAAAATCAGGTGAATCTTATAGTTTCAGCCAAATGTCACTCTCAGGACATGCCTGCATTGCCTCCAAAATGGTAGGGAGAACAGTGGAGCATGGCACCCACCCATTCACACACCACCCTGAAAAATGTAACCTAGTCAACACTCAGTGTGGCAATGGGCACTCCTCAATGGGACAGGTTGCTACAGGTTGCCCAGTGCTGCAGTGAGGGTAGCTATGTTGTACATTTTTGAGGTACTGGTGAAGAGTGGGCATTCCCTAGCATGGTGGTTCACACACTCCTGCATCCTTTGAACTGAAATTAAGAAGTATTTTTGTATCTGTTCCTCAGTGAGTTATATAAATGCATTGTGATGTTAGTGTCACTAGTAAAGTAACGACTGTCACTCGTATTTGAGTATGACAACCACTGATACTGAGAATCAGTTTCCACACATAGGGTTCAGGAAACATGCCAGGGCAAGTTGGTGTCTATGTTCCCTCCTACTGTCAGCCAAGGTGGCGTGACGATGTTCTATCGCTTGGTCTACTTCGTTCACAGTGGAGTGCCAACCTTGCCTATCATGGGCCATATCTTCCCAGGACATTAAGTCTTATAGTGCAGCATGAGTGGAAGTTTCTAACTGGGTTCTCCTTTCTTCCATGCAAAGTTTCAAAACATCAACAAATTGGTTTGGTTTTGAAGCAGCCTTCTGTCTTGGAGTATGAATCCTGACATTCAGTTTAGTACAGATAAGCTGGTGATCCATAGAGCATTCTGCACCTTTCATGGCCCTGGTAATGTAAACATCCCTGAGGTCATTGTGACAAGCAATGGCATAGTCTAGAAGGTGCCAGCTTTTTGACTGAGCACCACCAAAAGTAGAACCACTTTCTGGCATGTTGAAAAAGGGGTTTGTAACAACAAGGTCAAACTCTATGCAGTGTGTTAAGAGTAATTCTCCATTTATGTTTAAAGACCCACATCTGAATTTCCCCACGACTCTGTTCCAAGTAGTGTGGTCATCTCCAAAGTGTGCATTGAAGTCACCCAGTAGTAGGATTTTATCACTGTTGGGTATGTTTCTTAGAGTGTCACACAGCTGGGGGTAGAACTGAGTCTTCATTTATTTGGGAGCAAGTAGTGTTGGGGTGAAGGCACTTCTTATTGCCAGAAAGTTGTTGTAGGACAGTGGTATCCACAAGGTCGTTAGGCACTTGGATATTGACACTGTTGTTGTTGTTGTTGCTTCCAAATAGATTTGGGTTTCATTAATGTTGGGTAAATGTAGTATGTTTCTGAGTACTCAAGAAATAAGTGCTAGCTGAAAGGCACAAAGACACTGCCTCTGCGTTGAACAGCACACCAGTAGAATTCAACAGATCACAACAGGTAAAAGTTCAGTCATGGGGGAAACAAAGCACAAACGTTCCAGTGAAAACATTATATGCCTACTTCCATGAGATACGCACACAGCTTGTTGACTTCATAAACGTAGGCAGCTGTCGTCTTTACTATGCTTCTTCAAGAATGATGACCCAAGTGATATCAGGAGGTGGCTTGGCTAACAGGTTTGTGGAATGGTTACATACATAGAGGTGAATAAAAAAACCACAAAGACAAAAGGGCAAAAAAGGGCAATGAGCACTGGTGTTATTGTAACAGAAGACGGAAATGGAAAAGCCCAAGGGGAAAGCCAGCGCAAGCACTTTAACTTATATCCAGTGCAATAAGGAAGAGCCAAGAGGCAATATTTTGAGCCAAGAGCAAATAAATCAGGTGATAGTTTCTTGAATAAACAACTGCATTCACACACAATTCAGGTGTGGGTTTTGTACATACTTTGTAGTTAGATGCTTTAGGAGAATTTCATTACTAGACAAACCGTGAACAGTGAGTCTGAACAAATAGAAAGCATTATGGCATATTATTATGAGTTTACTTTACCAGCTATACTTGCATCTTTCTTTGCCAGGTGGTCTCTCATAATACCTAGAAGGACTGTCATTTTCTTTTGCTTCTCCAAGTCACCTGAAAATGTTTGCTTCCACTATACTGTAAAAAAAAAAAAAAAAAAAAAAAAAATCAAACATCATCAACTTGAAAAAAACCCCACTCTGTTCTGTCAATATTTCAAGTATTCAAGTGTTCTGTCAATATTTTAACTTTAAGTATAAATGATTATTGTTAGTGGCTTGTTCTTGTCCTGGTGTGTTCAGCCAAGTTTGCATGGGAACCTCTGCAAAAGTTTAACCAACTAAGAGCATGTACAACTTCAAGAAAATATCTTTTAAACAAAGAGGTAATTGACAATCTGCAGCATTAGGGACTGGCTCATGGAAGGCCTAGCTAAGGGCAGCTTTCTGAAAATATCATGAGGCAGTGTGATCTAAGGGTACAGCAGGTATTCAGAATTCTTGACTTTGCCTTCTTGATTCTGCCCCAAAATTTACTCTGAGACCTTAAGCTTATCATTTATCTTCAAATTTCTGGAGAAATTTCCAGTCTTCAATGACAATACAAATCTCAACTTCATAACACCGATCCCCCAACCTATGGCTATTAAAAAACTAATCATCCCTGGCTTGGAATTCTCCTTCATTATTTCTTTGTCTTTTGCACTGTACAGGACATCACAGATGCTGTTAGAGCCAAGCCCTGATAGACTATCAGCAATATGTAATCCTACACCTGATACTGAATTCAGAGCAAGTGAAGATTAAACAGGACAGAAATGCCCTCCTGAAAGGAAAGTCCATTTAAACGCAGAACCAGTGAGGATAGCACAAACATTTTCCAGTATTTACAATAATAATTAATTGCTATAGGAAAATTGGTGCCAGTTCATAGAATCATAGAAGTAGGGTCGGAAGGGACCTTGTAGATCTTCAAGTCCGCCCCCCTGCCTGGGCAGGAGAGAAACTGGGCTCAAATGACCCCAGCCAGGTAGGCATCGAGCCGCTTCTTAAAGACCCCCAGGGTAGGAGCCAGCACCACTTCCCTTGGAAGTTGGTTCCAGATCCTAGCCGCCCTAACTGTGAAGTAGTTCCTACGGATGTCTAATCTGAACCTACTCTCCAACAACTTGTGGCCGTTATTCCTTGTTATCCTGGGGGGTGCTGGGGGAAACAAGGTCTCCCCCAAACCCTTCTGGTCCCCCCTAGTGAGTTTATAGATGGTCACAAGGTCCCCCCTCAGCCTTCTCTTGTGAAGGCTGAACAGGTTCAGGTCCCATAGCCTCTCATTGTAGGGTCTGCCCTGCTGTCCCCAGATCATGCGGGTGGCCCTCCTCTGGACCCTCTCAATGTTGTCCACATCCCTCTTGAAGTGGGGTGCCCAGAACTGGACACAGTACTCCAGCTGTGGCCTGACCAGTGTTGCGTAGAGGAGGAGGATCACCTCCTTGGCCCTACTTGAGATGCACCTGTGGATGCACAATAGGGTCCGGTTAGCCCTGCAGACCGTGACCTCACATTGTCTGCCCATGTTCATCTTGGAGTCAATGATGACTCCAAGATCCCTTTCTGCCTCCCTGCTCTCAAGAAGGGAGTTTCCCATCTTATAAGAGTATTGCCAGTTACTACTGCCCAAGTGCAGCAGCCTGTACTTGTCAGTATTGAAACGCATCCTGTTTTTGTCAGCCCACCCTTGCAACCTATCCAGGTCTTTCTGCAGTCTTTCCCTCCCTACTAGCGTTCCCACCTCACCCCAGATTTTGGTATCATCAGCAAATTTGAACAGGTTGCTTTTCACCCCATCGTCCAAATCGCTGATAAAGAAATTGAACAGCATGGGTCCAAGGACCAAGCCCTGGGGGACTCCGCTGCCCACTTCCCCCCAGGTCGTCCACCACCACCCTCTGAGTACGACCCTTCAGCTAATTAGCAATCCATCTGACCGTGGATTCAGTTTGTCCTGCACTGGATTTCAGTTAGTCAATAAAAATATGAATTTATCTAATAATTAAGCAAAACAATTTTACGTTTTACAGAAGCAGTTATAGATCAGTTATGTTTTTCTATTAAAATACAAAGGAAAATCTGGTTCAAGGACACTGAGCTGACTTTTGTACTCATTTGAAGCATTAAGCACAGAGCTGGTCAGGCTATGAAAAGGATTGCTCCTTTCCTTTGAGGCTTATTTTCTCAGGGCTGGCAACTGAAGGAATTTGGGTAAAGACTTATTTCACCTACTTACCATGATGGTCAATTACTTACAGTAAATTTCACTTTTTTGGTTCCCACATTTCTTCTTTAAAAAAAAAAAGAAAATCACCCATTCCTGTACCTGCTTCCAAATCACCCTTTATTTCATCAGTCTCTCTAATTTCTCTGAACAACTGAGGTTTTGCTCCCCGCCACCCCCACTCCCCACAGGCTTCCCACTCACCCCTTGATCTCATACCCTTTCCTAGGCTTGGAAGAAGCATATAATAAAATACTTGCAAACATTCTGCCAGCTTCAAAGTAGACTTCATGTTATCCCTGCATGTGACATTGCCCCCAGGTGAATCATTATGTGTGAACTCACAGGAAAATGATTGTTTGCTTACTTGAACAGTCTCAAAGCAAATATCATGTCCCTGGGCTAGAATGATTTTACAGCAATCTAAAATTGGTGTCTGTGATTAAATGGAATTTGTTTAGGATCAACATACCTCCTAAAGACTAAATTATTCAAACCAACAATTAGAGAAAATGCATTTAGCTTTGGTAACTAGAACAAGAAATATAATTTTTTTCTAGTCATACTGAACACTTCATAAACAAATCACTGGTTTACTGATCAATTATCCCTGATCTCAGAATCATTTTTCTATTTTATTCAATGATTGTTGAAGAAGACATAACACTATGTGTATACTGACATTTAGGATAGACCAGAGGTTTGCTCCAGCCTGAGCCATGTCAGCTGCCCTTCCCCTTTTATCACTTAACTTGTAGTCCACTAGCAAGCCAAGTAGACTATTAGTTTGTTTGTGGGGTTATCTCTCCTCCTGGGATAGTCTCAATTCATTGGCAATAGGTAGAGGAAGAAGGTGGAGAAGTGCCAGGAGTCAGAAACAGGGATTTGTGGGCTTGCTGTTTGTGAACTTTTGCATCTTGGGGTCCAAATTCCAGGGTGAGTTCTTGACATGCTGCAGGGACTAGGAGATACACTAGGTAGTGAGCAAGGGTAGCCTTCTTATATACGCAAGTTCAACAGACCTTCTGGGTTGGGTTGGGTTCAGCTAAGGGGTTTTCAACAAAGGTGGTCAATAGATACAGATTTCAGGGGCCTATAGATCAACACTATCTATCAGTGTAGGCACTAGCCAAATACTAAATATTTGCATATAGAAAATGGATTGAAGAAAGGGATAAAAACAGGTGCTGTTTGTAGACCTATCTGTGGCACACAACAGTCAACCACCAAAACCTGCTTGCAAATTCTACAATATGATGTGTGGCTACCACCTGGTGCACCTCATCTGATCTCTTTTGTAGATGCTTTTACACAGAACTGTGCAAGAACTGGAGCTGCTAGAAATGACAATGAAACAGTATCCCTCAGGGTAGCATGCTAGCACCAATTCTTTTTAACATATGACCAACCTATACAGAGTAATACGAGGAGCTTAATATATGCTGATAATCTATGCATCACGTCACAAGAGAAGGACTAAGCCACTTTCAAGAACAAACTGACATGCACACTGGGCAAACTTTCAGATTACCAAATAAGAACTAGTTATGCAACAACCAACCAAGATGCAGGTCACAGATTTTCACCTACACCATTGAGAAGCCAAGTGGAAATTAAACATCATCTGGGATGGAATCCCACTAATCATCTAACCCCTGTGTACTTGGGAGTTGAACCAAACACTTACCTTAAAAGCACCTGTAGGGAAGACGAAAGGGAATATCAGCACCTGCAACAACATGCTTCAAAAGTTGGTCACCTCAAAGCGGGAAGCAAATCCAGCTACATTACAAACCACTGTTATTGCCTTGTGTTACTCCACTGCAAAGTGTGCGTGTCCAATATGAAGATGAACAGTTCATTCCAAAAGAACAGATTCAATTCTAAACAAAGGTTGTTGTGAAATAACAAGATGTCTAAAGCCAACACCAAAGGATAACCTGTACTTCCTGGCTAGCATTGCACCACCTACCTCTTCTGATATCAGAAGAGAGGTAGCAAGCCAAAAAGAAACATCACAGAAGATGGAAGACCCCAAGAATCCACTCTGTGGTCACACAGAAGTAACTAAATGACTTAAAACATGAAAGAGTTTTATGACTAGTGTTGAGCCAGTGGATACAATGGCTGACAGGGAGCAACTGAGGTTATGGAAAGAAAGATTACATGCAATCAGGTGCTCCAAAATTGACCTGGAACCCCATGAGGACCTTCCAGGAGGGACTGATCAATATTGGCCAATATAGCAATGCCTGAATTGCCTGCACATGCAAATTGGAAGATCAAAAACAAACTTGATCAAATGGGGTTACTCTAATGACACAAATATATGCGAGTGCAGTGAAGTGCAGACTATGGAGCACATGCTTGCTTGCCCACTCCTTGGTGAGACCTGTATGACGGAGGACCTTGCTACAGCAACAGAGAGCCATTGTAGTACATCATTCTGGAAAAACACTTAGTTAGGACAAAGACACAAGTAGAAGTATAGGCAAAACTATAATATCCAGCAGTTGCATCACATAACAAATGGTGTTAGTGATTAATGATTAACAAATATACTTGAACAAATAAATACAAGAGCGAGTTCTTTTTCTCATATAAGTACAAAGAAAGATGGGAAAGACTCCTTATTAACAAAAAAAAATTCAATTGTTATTACTTTCACTAAAAACAGTAGCCAAAGGTAAAAAAATAAAAGCAACGAAGAGGCCTATCATGAACAGGAGAAGATAAAAGAAGCCAAAAATCTATGTTTCATTACAAAAAGAAATGAACTATTGTACAAGTACATTCTACCATACTATTTCCTACTTCCTTATTACAATACAGGTTCCAATAGATCCATGGCAGTCAGC